AAAAAAAAAAAAAAAAAAAAAAAAAAAAAAAAAAAAAAAAAAAAAAAAAAAAAAAAAAAAAAAAAAAAAAAAGACAATCGCTTTACAGAATAATCGTCTTATACAGATCAAAGCCCCTTTATTGTATAATACCCAAAAACTGATTATAATACATAAACCCTGCTACAACACTATGACGCTAAACCTATATCCCTTTTGACCTATACCTTGGAAGCGACTGACTCGCCGTTTTAAAACTTTCAACGGCTACTAATACATTTTAGGCATTTTCTAGAAGAATATACGATCATATCCATTAATTGGATGTGCACATCAAATTTTACTTTAAATGGTCTAAGCAGCTTCAAAACAAAGTAACCTGATAAACCTAGTACAAAAAGGTAATATGAATTCAAATATATCACTGTTTTGCGGAATCTCACAAGTTGTAACACAACACAATGTATTGTACAAGATATAAACTGAAAGCTGTTCTAAATCAATTTGATAGACGGTGCCAATTAATATTGTTTTAATTGAGCAGCTCGCATGGATCTCTTAATGCTAACAACTTATTAGGCATTTATGTCGCATATATAACTATTGTTTAATAGTTTATAATATAATATACAAAGCAATTCACAGCATATTAGGCACAGGAAGGAAAATGTCTGTATTAAGTTTTTTTTTTTACTACGAACATGAAATCATCTGTCTCGAGTGTCTTTAACTAACGACAAAGCCTGCAAGTTGAATATCTACAGCGAAAAACCTGCACAGCCCTTATAAGAAAACGAGACCAAAAAATCATAGCTAATATTCTTAGTGTTAATAAAGATCATCGAAATGTAATGTAAATATGGATAATTGTAATATAAGTGTATCAGGATTTAATTTGAGTCACGTGTAAAATTCCTTATAAATGCATGAATTGATATTTCGTGTAACCTTAATTTGCAGATGCATAATCTTCTTACTACCTAAGTCTAAGAATTTAAAAGTGCCTACTTTATTGGTGGGTCACGAAAAATATTCCTATGAAAAATGGTATTTATAAACTTGATGGTAATAAATTAGTATTAGTGTTAGTGTTAGTGCTAAAATTTACATAGGTCGGATTTGTAAACACATGATCATTGAATAAAATACATATATGTCTAAAAAAATTATCAATATTCCCATCAATTCGGGGATTATTGCAAATTGTTATATGCCCATTCATACAATATCAATCTTTTATCATACATATTGACGATAAATTAAGGATCTACTTTACTCTTTCTTCAGGTAAGAAAGAGGCACGAATAAATTAATGGCATTAAATTTCCAAAAACAAACGACTGGGACTCCGTTACATACGAATTCACCATCTCCAGATTCTCGATCGCAAGATATGCTTACGAAATTATCATCACAGCCTCTTTTTATCGCTCACGAAAATAGCATTTCTACCACTCTATCCTTAACAATATCTCCCACACCTACATCCTGCGAAAATAACGGTTCTACTTTTCTACCGTCGGAATCATTAAATCAAAACTCTCTTTTTATTCGTGATAGTATTTCTGATAATATTCCTGATAGTATTTCTGATAATATTCCTGATAAGATTCCTAGTCTGTCAACATCCACTGACGATATCATTAGTAACCGACCTCTGTCAAGGCTTAATGATAAGATTGACAAAATTATCACCAACCAACCTCTGCCAACAATTCCCAACCAAAATATACTACTCAATGATAATAATGATAATAATGATAATAATGATAATGCTATCACCAACCAACCTCTTCCAACATCTACTGATAATATTCCTAATAATATTCCTAGTAAGCCAATACCCACTGACATTATTCCTAGTCAGCAAACACCCACTGATAAAATTGATAATCCTATCACCAACCAACCTCTGCCAACATTCGCTGATATTAAGATTGATAATACTATCACCAACCAACAATCATCAACCAACCAACCTCCTCCAACATCCACTGATAATATTGAAAATAACCAACCTCCGTCATCACCTATTGATGAATTCTCTGCTCAACCTCAATCTCAATCTCAACCACAACCTTCTGCAAATTCACCTATTGATCAATCTCAACCACAACCTTCTGCAAATTCACCTATTGATCAATCTCAACCACAACCTTCTGCAAATTCACCTATTGATCAATCTCAACCACAACCTTCTGCAAATTCACCGATTGATGAAATTGTTAATCCCCAATTCGCATCAGATTTCCCTGCTGATGGACAACGTCCAGGAAGCTCACCCTTTATTAACCAGAAGAATTTAAAAAAATTAAAACCAGAAATCAAAAACCATTTATACTCATCCAGTTCATCCATTTCTCAACCTTCCTTACCCCCTACGATAACGGATAGCAGAGGCGATTTACCTTTGCCAGTCGATCCACCAGAAATGGTTGGAATAATAATCGCTGCCGTAATAGCAACAATAGTTGTTGTTTTAATAATAAAAAGAATCACATTTGGCAAAATGTCAATTGAATCATCTGAAAAAAGACAATTGAATATACAAAATGATAACTTGAATGTGCGTTCTGTTGATAATAAGAATAATAATAATTTAAGATTTGGTAACGATTATGTTATCAGTAACGGACTTGATGAAAATAATGATCCTTTATTCGATCGTCATGATTTAGATATAATTAATCTGCAGCAAAATCCAGACTTTTACTCAGAATGGGGTGAAACCCCACGATTCTTTGGTACTCTGAAAAGATGGATCAATAAACTTTTTAATCGAGGGAATAATAGGGCTAAATTAAATAAATTAACATCAAGTGTTAATATGGACATTACAAATAGGCTTGATAAGAAAAAATGTAGTGTTTATAGGGAAAGTGAAACAATGGAAGATAGTGGGGTTGGGGCTTCTAGTGTGTGTGAAACTGAAATATCTTTTCCGGATATACATTCTCATGTTTTAAATTGGGACGAATATATATTGTAATATATGGGTGTTTATTGTAAACATTATTTTATAAATACTGTAATGGCATTGCAATTTGTATTATCCTCGAACTATGAGAACGCGCAAGTAGATTAATTGTGTAAAAAAAGTTTAGCACTTGTTTTTAACTGACTTCTCTTGAATATTATATATGTTGCAAGTGGGAACGATAATAGGGTTCGGAATCCACTTAGATTAGAACGGGATAATAATACTAAAAATCCCAACCTTAAACTTAAAAATTCCGAATCAATTTAAATTCTATTCCCACCCTACAACGTATACAATAGTTAAACATCAAGTACTATTGTATAACAAATGCCGCATTTATAGAAAAATCTTTGTTTCCTTTTTATTAAACGGTATAGTAATTTATAATATATTGCTATTTAAATTTTTTTTTTATTTGTTTTAATAAACAAATAAAAAAATTTTTTTTTACATCAAACAGCAATTTATTATAAATTATACGTATATACCGCGAAATAACATCCTGGGTAGGACCTCACCTTGAAAAAAAAAACCATCTCGGGTAGGGATGGGCACGGTTACAGCTATAGCCGGTTATAGTCTACTATAGCTATAGCCGATATTAGACGAACCGAACGGTTTAGCCGGCCGGCTAAAATTATAGTCGATGTCAGATTTTTAATTTTCGGTTGATAAAAATAACGATAATAATCGTTGCATAATTAAGTATGAAATCATATCGGCGGGTCTGCATCATCTCTTTTTCCTTAGTATAATCCTATATTCTAAAAGATTTACATAAATTGAATAACTTTTTATTAATATCTGATATATTTTGTGCATATTACTTGTGCGAAGCAAATATTAAAATCTTTTAAATTTTCTTCTAATCGTAATACACAAATATGCATTAATAAAACGTTATTTGATTTAACTCAAACTTAAATAATATACGTATTTTGATCAGCTTAACAACTTAATGCATAAATAACAATTTGTATAATAAAATCTCAATTTTACTATGTAGCAACTATTAACGATCTGAAAATAAAACACTGTAGTCTTTAAGTATCGCACACTGTAGTTACTTTTCACTTATTATATGCATATCTGACATAACCCATTAGGTCTAACTTGTTACTTCTATTCAATATACTGTCTATTTGCTGACTTAATATTATCCTAAATAATGTAGAAATCTCAATTTTTGGGCCACAACTAGAGATACTGATGAAATTAATTTTAACAATTTCACCAATTCAACACTAATTCACCAGTAGTGGTGAAATTATTAAACCAACATACATTTTGGTTGTAATTATTTAGATATTTGATGAAGTAATTAATTAAATAATTGTCGCGGCTGATGCTGGAAACGGCTGAAGCTGGAAATCAGGGACCCTGATTTAAAAATATAAACTTGCCAAAATCCACTTATACTCTTTCATTTTCAAAACTAACCCTAAATCCTAATCTGACCATGAAAAAAAAAGCTAAAAAAATGCACTCCAAAAAATTTTGAAAATTTCATATTAAAAGATTTAAAATTTCCAGCTTCAGCCGCAACAATAATTGATCAGCTATGGCCGGTTATTTGGCCGCAGCTAGCCGGCTGCAAGCGGCTAGCTGGTAATAACCGACTGATAACCAACCGGGCACATTGCTTGAAAAGAGTTAATAATTAATTTAGGCGAAGACTTTGAATAACAAAAAATTATGTTTCGCACTCAATTAAATTAATTATTAACTCTCTAGCAATGTATCTCGAAATAACGCCCCTAGTCGTTATTTCGTGACAATACGGTACTATTTAGTAAAAAAAATTTTTCCATAAAAAAAATTACTATTCATTACATCGTGAGGTGCTTGCAGACACTCAATCATCTTAACTAAAAGTCATAATTTTATCCCAAAAAACTTATACAGGCAAGTCATATCGGTAATATAATACTTATCAAATGTCAAAGATCATGGGTAGGGTGTCCAGAATTATGCTGTTCATAATGCCAAATTGTGCTTGCTAATTGTATTAAATTATGCTTCTTATACCAATGACTTTTTTTTAAAAAAAAATTGTATTGTTACGTATACTTTTCAAATCACTGCAATTAGCAAATATACATCATACGACCCACCTAGTATCGCCACCAAAATCATGTACGTACGTACGTAATACTGAGCTTAAATTTATTTACCGATATTTTAATAATATGAAATCTGATGACTACAATGATAATGATAATATTTGATTAGTAATGCGTACAATAATAAAAATAATATCTAAATTTTTATTTCTTTGATTTACCGTAATTTGCTAAAATGGAAAATATGCATATTACGCATCGTTGTTCGTTCTGTCGATTATGAAACCTATTTTGCATTTCAAAATAATCAAAAAACATGCTTTGAGTGTTTACCCTCATAAATGAAAGCAGAAAAAGGAAGCGTAAAGACCAAACTTTAAACAACATTTGCAAGAAAAAAGAAAACGGTATCGAATCGGAATCGTGAGATTGATGTGGATGTTTCCCAGATGAGTAGCGAATTAAAAAAAAATTGTTATAAATGAATTTTTTGGCAAGTACAATAACACTTGAGATCGTAAAGTTCTATGAAAAAGAGACGGTAATTTATATGTTCATCATAAAATAAATCGTAATAAACAAATCAAATCCATTTCATTTATATATTGGTACAACTGTTACTGTGAGCTTGAGAAGAGAATTAAAAAAAAATGATGAAAGTTAACAGCGATAGAGAGCCACGAATTGAACATTATAGGAATATTTGGGTGTTATTTGTACCTCCGGAAATTTCTGTAATTCTCACTGGCGTATATTATATTTTACTAATATTATGTTTTAGGCACTCAATTGTTCTT